ACAGCCGCTAAGCCCTTGAGTACGGCTGGTATGACTGGGGAACTGTGTCTTGAACATGAATTAGCTTTAATCACTTTAAATGTACAGTCCTTTGTGGCTAGTGGAGACCCCACCAGGCAGGACAGAGACAGCCCTTCAATCTCTCACCTCTCAGATGTTCTAAGTATCTAGGCTTGTCTACGTGGCCATCTACCTCCCTGTGGGATGGGCAGTGAGCTTCAGTCCCAAGGAAACTGAGGCTCCGAGTGGTCCAGGACTTTTCTGCCGGCCTTCAGTGAGTCTGTGCCCCAGCTGGATGCACGCCCAGGTCACATGACCTCCATGCCAAGGTCACATGACCAACCCATCAACATTTCTCTCATCCTTCCCCTAAATGGAGTGTGAAACCCAAAATATGGGAAATAAAAGTTCATCTTCTAAACAGCAAGGCAGACACTTTTGGGAAAAAATCCCCATGGTAACCGGTGGTGGAAACGAGGATCATTTTTCGACAATTAAGAGACCCCTATTTAAAGAACCAAGTTTCTATGAGCAAAAGGAACAGCAAATAGCAAACCAATTCTATGAAGAAAAAAGCACTGAAGTAAATCCACACGAGAGCTCACAAAGCACTGGCTTCGACGCCATTTGTTAGGTGAACCCACTGCCCATGCAGGAGTGTCCCCGCCCTGGTGGGGGGAAGTTTCTCCCGGGAGACCCAGTCCTTCTCCATCAAAGCCCCCGAGCTGCAGTCAACTCTACACACCACGCAGCTTCGCAAAAACACACTTAGAGTAGGGGTACTTCATTCATTCTAATTGAATCCTATGAAGTTCAGCTTAGCATTTAAAATGTATTTTTTAACAATCTGAAGCTTTTTGTCCTCAGTTATGCAACCATCTTATTTTACACTAACTTCCTAAAACCTTGCTCTTTATTTCATATTCCCCCAGAGAGTTAAAATTTGTGTCTGGGGGTGGGGTTTTCCCTGAGTCCCCAGGGTCATGGTCATGTCCTTCAGTAACCACAAACGTCCCAGAGAGACTGCAAACAAGGATGACCCTAGGGGGCTTCAGCCCTGCGGACCGACTCCCCGACCTCCACAGGCCTCAGAGGGACTTGGGTTTTGCTCCTACCTTGGGGTGTCTGTGTTCCCTTTCATCCTCCGCTCAGGCACTGCTGCAGAGGGCAGTCTCTGCCCTTCCTGGGGTTTCAGCTCCAATGCTCGCTGGCACGTGAAGAGAGCCAGGCCTGGGGTTTTATCACATCACAGATGAAATTCAATATTGGGCCTTTCATGTCTCACAGCCCACCTCCCTGGCCCCTCCCCGCACGGGCCCTCCCCCAACCTGTATCTTCCGTACCCGCTTACCACCCACCCCCAGGCAAAGGTATATTTCCTGAAAACTGGAAAAACCAGGTACTACCAGCCTCAGATCAGTGCTAATTAAACTAGGCTATAAAATTCAGGCCCAGGTCCCTTACCTGTGAGTGACACCTCCCCATTTGCACCTGGGACCCAACATGCACGATAAACGCATCGTCCCCCAAGCCCTGGATGGACAGCGGCGGGGCCATCAGCACGCCTAGGGGTTCTGATCGGGCTGGCTTTGAAGAAACCCCTCCTCCTGGTCTGTTCTGCGCGCACTTCCATCTCACGCACTAAATTTCAAGAACTCAGAGATGTCTGCACGTCGCGTTCTATTAGCTGCTCGAGTGCTGACTTTGTTCTCTCTGTTGTCAACGTGTTTTGTTGGCTGAGCTCTACAACAAGCTTCCAGATGTCAGGACGAGCAGGGCATTGGAGGCCCGTCCCCGCGGGGCCAGAGCCTTGACCTCGGGACAGTGGAGTTCAGCTCTGCCGTCTCTGGTTCAGTCCCACAGAGGAACCCCGTCTCTCCTGGAGGCCTGGCCACAGCGCTTTGTCGTAAGGCCTCGGCTTGGCGGGCTCTGCCTGTGGGCAGGTGCTGGGTGGTCCCTCCTCCCTCCGAGCTGCGTGTGGGGTTGCAATCAGGAGCCCGGGGGAGGCCAGCCCCTGGGAAAGGGCTCCGATCCCATGCAGGACAGCAGCTCCCCAACGGGATCGGGCCACAGAGGGACGCCAAGCAGAACCCCTTCACTGGGGCTGAGCGGACACCAGCCAATCCTGTACGTCTGCGATCGAGTCAGTTGCGGCTTCATATTTCACAGAGAAAACCAGGAAAAAAATTAAGAATATCAAAGGTAGAATTTCCTTTTGCTCAGCGCTTTGTGCTGCCCGAGGCTGCGATGATGAACGTGCTGGAGACAAGGGCTCGAGGGTCTGCAGGATGGGAGGGCAGGAGCGGGTGCCTGCTGCTCTCTGGTCTTCACAGTTCGTGTTTACAGGTTTCTTGCTTGTCTTTTCATCCTTTTGTCTTATCCAAGAGGCTTACAACCGTCCTGTGTGCAACAAGTGACTTCCTGATCTTTCTGCCAAACAAGGTGGTTATAAAAGTTGAAAAGGATTAGGTGCTGAGGCTGCAGGTGGAAGTGTCTGCAGAAGGAGTTGTGGGTTTGCTCCTTTAATTGCCTCAATTTTACTTCAGACCAATTTCTTTCCCCCTTTCCCTCAAAGCTTCCGAGGACACAATCACTGGGTAAAACCAGGCTGTGGATTTCTCTTTCTCTTTTCCTTCCACGCTGTGAGGCTTGCAGGATCTGTTCCCTGACCAAGGACTGAACCCGGGCCACAGCAGTGAAAGTGCTGAGTCCTAACCACTGGACCACCAGGGGATTCCCTGTGGATCTCAGGGATCAAGGAGGGGCTGCCCAAGGGGCTGGCGTGCCTGTCACTGCCCCGGGGACAGAGCTCGCGCTGCAGGGGCAGCTGTGCCTCAACGGGAAGTGGATGCCGTCGCTCGTGGGGCTGCCCTGGCGTTTGCCAGGTGGACGAGCCAAGGTGGACAGACGCGGCCTGGACTCTGGCCCAGAGCTCTGCCCGGAGCCTCCCTGAGAGACCCGGTGGCCTTTCACCTCTGGCTCTTGAAGAACGCGCCCTTTCTGATCATTCTTTCAATAGGAAAATGAGTCCAGGTGTTATGATGGGCTCGGTGCTTTCTCCACTTTGAGACACACACTACCTTTTCACGGGAAGGCTACCTTGTTAACATGAGGCGTCCGAGCCGAGAGCGGCAGGGCCTTCGGTGTCTGTGAAAGGCCAGGAGGGCTTTCCTGGGCCGAGTGAGCTCCCGCCGAGAGGGAAACCATCTTCTCTCGCTCGGTCTCACACTCACACAAACGCATCGCTTTCTTAGCCCGTATTAGATGCAAGACAGCAAGACATTACACTGTCGATGAACCCAGGAGTGAATTCTTATACCGACAGGGTTTATGGCATCTATGGACCCACAGTCTCAAGGAGCCTGTTTTTAACAGACAAGCTCCAACAAGCGTCGTCTTGTAGCTCGGGCTGCGGTGCACAGTCCCCTCTCCCAGGGACGGGCATCTCTCTCTTCGTAGGGTCTGCTCGGGGAAGGAGGGCGGCTGTGTGGGTCCTGACCTCGCCTCCAGGGGAAGCCTGCTGGGCTCTGTCTGCTCTGAGAAGAGCCACGTGTCTTCTAAAAACAGGTTACTGGTCTTTGAAGTACAAACGGATCCAGGCAGAGTTTAGGAGGAGTGTTTTAAGGGCTCGCATGACACTCAGGCCCAGAACGCCCCTTAAACCTCTGTGGTCCCCAATAGTCACCTTCTTACCAGGTGGCCAGGTCTCTCCTAAGTCTAATTAAATACAACAAGCTCATTTAAAAGAATCACAAGAAGATTAAACTTGGCAGGTTCTGGTGTCTTTGCACATCTGCATGTTTGTGATATTTTCTTAAAGATTCAGAGTTTCACAGTATTTTTGTGAGGAGCAGGCCTGCAAGGGACCCTCATGTTTAGGAAACACGCAGACCCTCCTGCTAGAGGATGAAGCTGACAGCTTTAGAGAAGGTGCATTTTTTGTTTGTTTTTAACAGTGATTTTTATAAATCATTAATTTTGACCATTAAAATATTAAAGTAACTTGTTAGAGACACAGTGAAGCTCAGTCACAGGAAATGGGTTTTGAAGAAGTAGGTACTCCAAGCAGACGGTCCCGATGCTGGAGCGTTTCAGTGTGGAGTTGGTCTTGAAGTAAAGCCAGAGAAAAGGCAGAAAAAGCCATTTGAAAGCAGGGGGGCATCGGTGAATTTGTTAGCACAGCTGCAAACTTGGTTAAATTAAACCCAACAGGAGAATAATCCACACACAGAGCTGAAGGAAGCAGATCATGTAAACGCAAATGAACACAATTTGAAAGCTTTCCAAAAGGAAACCATTAAGCCTCAGGAGTTCTTGCAGGGGGAGGGGTGTGTAAGGAGCTGACATTGCATCTCCAAGGGGGCTCAGGTGTCTGCTGCTTCCCACAGCCAAGAAGTGCCAACTCCAAAATGCTCAGTGATGAAGAAAACGAGATTCACCTGAAACTCCTAGCTGCTGAGCCATCCAGGGATACGAAGGCTCCTGTCCCCACCCGCAAAGCATTGCTTCAGCCTCCTCCCTGAGTATCAAACTCATGCCCAGGACAGACCTCTCTGGCTGTTGGTTAAGGTGCCATCCAGCTTGGGGTGCTGAGAGCCAGACTTGCCGCCTGAGTTTGGCAAACCCCTGCCCTCTTTGCTAGGGCCACGGGAGGCTGCCCTGGGCCCTCATTCCCCCCACCTTCCCAGACTGGCCCCAGCCTCATCCCAAGCTGTTTGTTTTTGCATTTCACGCACACGCACCCTACTTGCGGCACCCCAGGAACAGAGACTGTAAGACACCCCTCCCACCAGAATTCCGAGGCCAGGGTTGCACAGTTCAGACAAGCCGTTTGTCCAAAACGCCGTGAGTGAGGGGAGGGACGGAGGAAGAGAGCCTGGGCCGGGAGACGTCAGCTTTGGGCAGACGTCAGCGGCGGGGAGACGTCAGCGGCGGGCAGACGTCAGCGGCGGGGAGACGTCGGCGGCCGGCAGACGTCGGCGGCGGGGAGACGTCAGCGGCCGGGCTGCGGGGAGGCCTCCTGCCTCCCACCGGGCTTAGGCTAATTACGAGGCAGGAGCGGACAACCAGAGGACCCGAGGGTCTCAGGCAGTGACGGTAAGCGCAAGGACTATTTGGGGCGAAGTGCTGCTCTTGTCCTGAGAGCGACTGGTCCCTGAGCGGAGTTTCCTCATTCTGACCCCGTGTCCCGACGGCGGACAGGCGGCGGGCGTGGGCACAGGGCTGCGGCCACCCTCTCCCTGGCCCGGTGTCAGTGCGTGTGCCGTGGGCGCCTGCGACATGGGGCCCGGTGCTGTGGGGTCCGAGGGGTGGGCCTGGGGAGCCACCCGCTGCCCCTTGCCCTCCGCCTGAAACCCAGCCGGTCCGTCTCCTGGTTGTTCTTTAACTTCAGCTCGTTCTGTCCTCTCCCCGCCGTGCTTCACTGATTCCAGACAGACCTGGGGGCTCAGGAGAGTCACGTCTGAAACATCCCCGGGTGGTCCTGAGGACCCAGGAGGAAGCCCCCTCCCTGGCGGTGGCAGGGTGCCCACCCCTGTCCCTGCTGCGATCCGCATTTGCACACAGACTCGCTGATCGCCTGCCCAGTCTGGGCTCACACACAGACGGGGACATTTACACGACATTGTGTGAGCAAGGCCTTACACAGGAGTTTAGGGGTCGGAGCTGCTGTTTATACAGAGTGCGGCCAGGGAGGGTTTCTGTGACAAGGTGACCTGAGGGGTGAAGGCGGCACAGACATCCTGGGTGAGAGCCCAGGGCAGGAGGGAGAGCGGATGCAGCGCCTGCAGCTTGTGCGTGTTGGGCGGGGAGGAGGGGGAAAGGAGGCGGCACGGCTGGAATGTGGTCAGGGTATCACTGGGTGGACGGGGGTTGGCCTGCCAGGCGCTGTGCTCCATGGGGCTCGCAGACCCTACCCTGTCACTGTAGGGTCCCCGTGGCTTTCTGGAACCTGGACAGATTGACAGGCCCTTCTGGGGAAAGACAGACATCTCAGATGGACATGGGTAAATGAAACCAAAATTATGATTGAGAAGCAGAGGTCCGGCTGCAGTAGTAGTAACTTCAGCCCACGAGGGCACGCCGAGTACGGACAGGGCTAACGGAGCCCCCGCCCCGTTCTCGGTCCTTTGCTGGCCTCATCGCGCTGGAATCCGCTCAGTAATCCCGGGAGTGGCACCACTGTCCTCTCTCGGGGAACTGGGAGTCGTTACAGTGATGACCGTCCCGGCTACCAGCCCCAGCACCTGGAGCAGGACGTGGGCTCCCACCCACCTCCCTCTCCGCCCCACCAGCATCATTTCCCAAGCCCTGCTGCCTCCCACGGCCGTGCCCACTCTGGTCCAACCCCAGCGGGACACGTCCAGCCCAACCCCTGAGGAGAGGAGAGGCTTCTGGAGTTGAGTAGATCTGGCTGATCTTGAGTCTCCGGCCATCCTGGCGCTGGTGCTGGGAACAGGGAGGCTGCCTGGCTCTGGAAAGAGAAGGTTCTGCCTTCTGCTCAAGCTCCCCATGTCCTCCCACCCCAAACCACATGCTCCCGGGCTCTGGGTCCCGGCTGGCAGGAGCGCCTGCCAAGGGACCTGGAATTCAGCATCATCTGGGGCTTTAGAAATCCCTCCAAACCTCCCCACCCCTGAAACGGTTATGATATAAAGTTAAACTTCGATCTAATCTGCAGCAGTCCCCCCCCATCCCAGGCCTGACCTCTAGAGGAGCCCAGGGTGGACACCAGGGTCAAGTGGCCTGCGTGGGAGTGCCGCCACTTAGCAGGACAGGCTCCTGGACCTCACTCACCCCTGAGCCTCCACTGCGTGTCTGCAAGGAGTGATGGTGACCTATTTCACGGATTGTTAAGCAGAGTAAATGAAAGGAAAACATTGGAAGGCAATTAGTGTACACAAAGGCTGGTTTATGTAAACATTTATTGGGCACCTACTGTGTGCCAGGCACCTGCTACAGACCAGAGGGAGCCCCCCATCCTCAGAGAGGGCACAAAGTGCAGGACAGGTGGTGGGCACTGCTGTCCAGTCCCCAGAGGACTCTGTCCTCTTGTTTGTGTGACTGTGAGGCTGTTTGTCCTGCTTCTTCCTTTCCTTTCTATGGGCCATGAGAACAGAGGTCAGGCCTTCTATTTCTTTTAGATCCTCTTACAAAACCTTGAGCAAAATTCAGAGCGTAAAGAAAGCCTCCAGTGAAGCCCTGAGGAGTGTTCTTCAGGTAAACAGGAAGGACAGCCCCAGATGCACCGACCAGGCCACTGCTGAGAACCAGAGTCAGGCAGAAGGATGCTTGGCCTGACGGAGGCCTGCATCTCCGGAGGCCCCACTTTAATTTAATTGATGCCACAGGAGGCAAACAGGCGGTTCCTTAGGGAACAAGGACGCACGTTTGTCGATGTCTCAATTCTGTTGATTCTGTAAACATAAGGAGAGGCCAACATTCTACTGTTCCAACTTTTGCAATCTTCACAAAATAAACATTTGCCTTCAAAACAACAACTGGGAAAGCCATCAGGGTAACATTCTCAAGCACTGTCGCCCCAAGCCCCAGCCAGGGGTCAGGACCGAGAGCTGCGTGTGGTCTGTTTGGACGATGGTTTTCAGGTGGAAACCTCAGGCTGGATACTAACAGGCAGCAATTTGGGGGAAGGTTTGTTTTCTTGGTGTTGAGGGTCGACTCAAAACCGAGTGTCCCCAGTCATGGGGACATCCCTGCCTTGGTTTCCTCCGGCCGTAAAATGGGGAGCAAAATAACTTAAATGAGAGCTAACAGGGCATTTGCTCGGACCTCAGGGGTCGTGGGGACAGGGTTGGCCCTGCTGGAGGCCACCGGGTAGATCAGATGCCTGCTGTGTGTTCACACAGGTCTCTCTCTCCAAATCCCTCGAAGAATGAGCTAAACGTTAAAAGAGGTTCTGCTAAACTTAAGTGACACTTATTGGACATTTTATCTCCCATAAAGGAACCCATCAGATGTGCCGTTTACAGATGCTGCCCACACCCGGCTGCCGCTGCCCACCGTGGGCCGCACTCTTGGAGACGCTGGCTTCCTGCAGAGGATGGACCATCTGCGCAGCCCCAAAGGGTACATTCTGATTGGTTTCCTTCATCACGGGCAGGAAGTTTTATGAACAGCCATTCTGAGTCATTATTAACAATTGAATCTTAGAGAAAATGGACTTTGAGAGTCCTGAAGTGCATTTAAGAAAGTGTGCCTCAGTATTTTTAAAACTTAGGGTTTTTCTGGGCCAGATGTGTTGTTCGTTAGGCAAGAACACAGGCCTCAATCAAACCATAAAACCCTATCTACAGTTGGCAGCTCTGACTTGCCAACTGGGTGCTAAACCGATCCCTAACTCAGTTCCCTAACAGCTCACCTGGAAGAGGAGGTTTCTGAATTGAACCATCAGGGCAGTGTTCTGTCCATCCAACTCCATCTCTCTCCCAGTGCTGGGAAGTATGTTTCCATCTCTGCAGGAGAGACTTGGGGAGTGGAGCTGACAAGGGCCTCTGGGCTGACTGCGGGCGTATCTAGTAGGGCTGCAAAGGGGTGGAAGGCCATGTTTGACTCTACGAGAGCCCTAAGTGTTTCCTTTCCAGTTTGAGCCTTTTAAAAATGTAAGCATGTTTCAAGTTGCAGTCTTTAAAAGTTTTCTCAGAAAGGGTCCCTCTGTCATTGTTCATTGCAAAGAGAGCAGATGTCGAGTTGAAAGCCCAGCTGCTCCTACTGCCTGAGGGCCAGTCCCAGTGGCCATCCTGCTGCTCCAGCCCCCACAGCGCTCTCAGAAAGAAGCTCCTACAGACTGACTCTAGGGCGGGGCGGGGGGGGGTGGATTTCAAAATATACTGCCTGGTCTTGCTGTGGGCACTGATGGTCCCAGAATGACACGGGCAGCCCTGAGTCACTGTTTGTTTGCCTTTTCCCACTGTCCTCACTGAAACCCAGATTCCTCACCATGGCCTCCAGCCCTGCCCACTCCATCCCTGGTCTCCTCTCTCACCTCCTCCTGTTCACCCCACCTTCCTTCTGTTGCAGCCACTCTGCCCTCCAGCTGGGGTGGGGCGCCTCGGGTCCACCCCACCCGGGCTTTCCTTGGCCACCCCTCAGATTCCACTTCTCACCCAGGCACTTCTCCGCTCGCCCGCATATTTCTTCCCGGCACTGGGTTTACTGAAGTGTCATTCATGTCTCCGGACTGTGGCTCCTCTGTCCTCACTAGAAGGCAAATGCCCCAAAGTAGGGACATTTCCCCACCACCTGCGGGTCCCAGGGCAGTGCCTACCGTGGAGCAGATGCTCAGAAAAGACTTGGGTGAATGAGTGAACATGAAACATACATTAAACCCACCATGAAATCCTACTTCTGCTCTCTCCTGGGCACAAAGTTTAAGAAATATGGAGCTGGAAATACAGCACCATGGACATTTCAGTAGAGAAGATTTAGCCTGATCGCTGTCACACGGCGGCCTCTTGGTTTGCGTTTGCAATCTGGATTCGTGTGTCTGTCTTCACATCCAGAGAAAGTGCTTTATGCCAGGATTAAGGTGCTGTTGGCAGAATCTTCTCCCTATTATTTTCGGGAGACTAGTGTCTTATTTCAGTGTTTGGGCTCACCTTTTAGTTGCTGTATCCAGCCTCTGAAAGATGTCGACCCTGAGAGATCTGGAAACACCGCAGCTGAGCTGGGCTTCTGAGTACGGGGCCCTCACAGCCACGGTGAAGGCAGCAGGGCGGGGGCTGCTGAGTCCGTGGGGAGAGGGACTCGCCAGCAGGGCGCCTCCCTGCCAAGTGAGGGGTCCGGCCTGACTCACTGCCCGAGAGCGTCTGGGGGACCAAGCTGGCCAGGGGGCACAGCCACCTTCTCACTGCGAGGGCATCTCCCCGTGGAAGGCTGGTCTCCACCACTCCACTGGACACACCCAGTGACCTGTCTTCTGGAGATGGAGGAAGGCCTCCTGGTAGTTGGCTCTGCGAGAACCATGTACCAGAGCTCTGGGCATTTCTGCGGGTCCTGGCGTGTGCCTGTCCCACCTTGGATGACCTGAGCACCAGGCTTGGAGTACCACATCTCTGCACCCAGAGGGCTGGCTCCAATGGGATCTGCTGCCTATTGGCCGTTCCTGGGCCCTTGACCCCATGGTGTGATGAGAATGGCTGGCGACCCTTCTCTGACATGATGGATCCCACCTACCACCCGGACATATGTGCACCAAGCGCCCTCTGTGCTCGAGGGGGGCACCAAAGCCGCCTTGGAGGGTGGGACCCCCCCCGAGCGCTGTTGGGTGAGGCCCACCCTGCTCCCGAGACCCTGGCCACACTTCTCCTGAGCTCCGACCGTGTGGGGCGCCCACACTGGACAACGCCTGGTGCCCTTGGGACAGACAGTGAAGAGAAACGCAGTGCAGTCTCACTGTCTGTGCTGACAGAGGCCGGGCCTGAACCCCAAGGCCCCATGAAAATCTCTCTTCACTGCTCGAGTCCATCAGACTGAACCGCCTGAAATCACCTACAGTCACCCGTTTGCTCTGTAGACCAACAGCAGTGCCGCCTGTCCACCCCGCTTTCCTCTGCCACCAAACCTTTGTCGGGGAGACTCCCAGAGACACACGTGGCGTCTAGGCTGACACGACCCCGGACCTGAGGTCTACCTGTCGTACCTGGGGGGGGGGAGTGGTCCTGGCGCTTTCTCTGCTCATCCCCACAGAGGCAGCAACGGAGGGTCTGGTGTCAGCTCCCCTTCTTGCCCTCAAGGGACACAGCCTGAGTCTGGTCGCCCGGAGCTCCACCCTCGTCAGCCACGGCTGGTGTCGCATCACCGCCAGTGCTGTGGCCACGGGCAAGTCCCTTCCCCCTTCTAGGGCCTGATCCCCTTATCTGAAAAGCAGGGAAGATAAGCATGAACATGTAAAGTGCCATAGTAATGAAGGGCAGGGGCTAAGTGCCCGGTGTCAGCTCACCGTCCTTTGCTTTATTCCGGGGGAAATAATCTGAGGTTGAATAAAAGTCCCACCCGTGCATGTGAGTTCACTGTGGACAGCAACCTCGGCTATGACGGGGAGACTGTCAGAGGGTGGAGGCTTGGGCTTCGTTTCCTAGTTGATCTGATGTGCTAAGTGAGCTTAATGCAAGTTAATTAATGATACTCTTGGTGGGCGGAATTACCTAGGCAGAGCCGAGAACAGCATCAAAGCAATGAGCAGGCAGGTGTCTGCGGGAATAATTGAGGAAAACAGGGCCAGGGGGAGAGCTGCAGGGAGGTGTGCAGGCAGGACCCGGGGGGGCCAGGAGGGAGACTGCGGGGTGAACATTTCATCACCGGGCTGGCTTCCAAAGCGCCATCCTGTTTACAGCTTCTGTGTTTGAATTTCAGGTTTACCTGAGTCTTTGAAGTTGGGTTCCTGGGCATTTCCTTGAGAATGAACTTCATTTTTTGGAAGACACAAAAGTCAGAAAGAAGACTCGGGTGACCGGGCTTTCATCTGTGGTCCTTTGGGACCTCAGAAACTTTGATGGGAGGATGCGCCCCAGTTAAAAGAGTCAGTGGGGTTTGCACCCCGTGACGTGCGGGACAGGCCAGGTCTGAGTGTGGTGGGGCTCCATGAGGCGCGGGACACAGTGACACCCAAGGAGGAGGGCGAGCCCCCCACGTCTGAGCTTCACAAATAGGAATATGCCACAGCATGAAGACCCTGTTTACGTTCAGAAACTGGGTAGTAACCGGAGAGTGAAAATCAAACATTTCAGGGAAATTTTATTGACTTTTTCCTCCCAAAGACATGTGCTTCCAGGATTACCCTCCAAATGTGCTGTCAGAGAACTCTCCTTCGTCATAGCCTGGCTCACTTGGGAGGTTAGGCACAGAGAGACCCCAGCTGACCAAGCCGAGGCAGGGCCCACATTCTCTCCTCCAGTGACGAGGGACACGGGGCAGCCGTCGGGACTAATGCTCATTCCCCAGCTTTGCTGAGCTGCTCTTTTTATGGTGGACCCTGTTGAGACGTAACTCGGAAGGTTTTAAGGCTTAGAAGTCTCAGCGCGTTAATTGGGTGGGAAATGTTTCTGTTACTTGAACTGATCCCTTTTCTCCCTTAGCTCATGATGGCTTTTAACCTCTTAAATATTGTGAATTCGCTGCAGTTTCGCTCTCAGCTGGAGAGTGTCTCACTATGCGACTTCAGAACCTCAGGGCAGGAGGGACCGGGCTTCCTCAGCCCCTGCCCACCCTGTCTGTCAGCCGTCCCTCCTATCCTGAGTCCCTCCAGCTCCATCAAGTTCCCCTGACGGACGGACGGGGCTTCCGCTCTGCTGACGTATCAACTCACTCCACCCCTTATGGCTTTAACGTCCCTCTTGGACCCTCACCGCTGTCCCCGCTCCCCTAACACCTCTGGCCTCCACGGAGCAGGTGCATTTACGGCGGGAAGATGGGGAATCAGCCGCTCTGGTGCCGGAACCCAAGCCGCCCCTGATCTGTCGGGGCATCGCGTGGAAACTCCTGGCTGAAGTGAGAGCTGAAGCCACCAGACGTGCATCCTTACCCACTCACTCTCTGTCCCCTGCACCCCGAAAACACGGCGGCCATAACCTCGGCCTCAGTCTTAAAGGGAAGGTGGCTCAGGGGACCCTGGGTGGGACCCCAGCCACCGCTTGCCTCCCCAGGAAGCAAACTTTCAGGCTCCTGGAGACCCTGTTGTCTCAGTAGCCGAGATCCCAAGCCCGCTGAGCACAGAGTATGGCTCCTTCACCAGATGCACAGCCAAGAGCAAAATGGGGTTTCTGCTGTTTTCCTGAAAACAAAGAACAGTCTCAGGTCTTAGAACCAGTAGCGCAGACGTACAGTAACCGGGAAAGCTTGTTCAAACGCAACCCAAACATGACACGCATTTCAAAAATGCACCCGGGCTGTCTTCCGGCTGTGACATCTCTGTCTCATCCACAGCCCAAGAGCTCAGGAAACCAAGAGGGAAGGACAAGGCTTACCTGGACCCCACTGGGGGATCCGTTTCCAATCCCAGCAGAAGATGGTCCGTGAAGAAAGCCAGGCTCTGTCCCGTCGGGGCCACCGGGTTCCCAGGTGGCCACCGGCCGTGTCCCGGGAGCAGGTGTAGAGTGGCTGGTGGCCGGCAGAGCTGCCCGGGCTCTGCCCCGTGCGCTGTCAGCCCACTTCCCTCTGCTGCCCGGCTCCTGGGACTCTTCCAACTGTTCACCCACCTCCTGGAGGCTTCGGCACGCAGACTCACCTGCACCATCTAGAGGCCTCTCCCTGCACTGGACGCAGGGCTCGGGAAGGGGGCGGCGGGCGGAGGGTCCCCCACACCTCCCCTCCTGCCTGGCTCTGACTTCCTGCCCAAAGACACCCGTGGAATCTGTAAAATCATTGACTCCCTTCTTTGGAGGTGGGGGGGTGTCTTGCTTCTCTCAGGACAACCAGAGCCTTTGGGCACGGGAACACCAGAAAGCTAAGTTAGCATTAAAACCACATTCATCAAAGTGTGTGCACCCAAGGGCCCCCACCGAGCTGGCCCCCTCCATCCAGCTGTGAATCCCGTTCACTGCTCCTGCCTGGTCCTGCCGTCCTCTCCCCACAGCTGCTGCAGGCAGAGTCACCAGGACTGCACTCCTGTCCCCCGCCCCCCCATACACCCCCATGCAACTGCAGGTCATCATCCACACGCCAAATCAGTCCAATTAACACACGCCCCACACAACTGGAGATAACCATGCACACCCCGTGAAACTCCAGACAAATATACACCCCATGGAACGAGGGATGAAGAAGACATTTGAAACAAACATTTTGAAAAGACCTGCCTTTCAGGGTTGGTCAATGCTTTCCAAAGTTCTGTGATCCTTAAGAAGGAGGCAGTGTCTCCTGCCCTCCCACCCCCAGCCCACTCGCACACAGGGGTGACCCCTCCAGGCTCGGCTTCCAGCCCCTCCTTTTCCCTCTGGTCTCCTCAGCCCGGACACACG